TCCACTCACCTCAGCCTCCCAAAGGCGCGGGATTACAGGCTGAGCCACCGAACCTGGCTCGAGCATTTTCTTTCATTTAACAAATATTGGATCCCTGACTTGTTGCTGGGTTAGTGCCAGGCCCTGGGGAGTCAGTGGGGAGTCCCTGACCCCCGGGGGGCATTCATTGTAGTACAAAGTAGGACATTAGACAAGTGGACACGCAGACAGTGGCACAATGGAGGGGAAATGCAGAATGCCACGAAGGCATGTAATAGGAGGGCTTGAACTCTGCGTATCAGGGATGGCTTCCTGGAGGAAGTGGCACTGGAGCTGAGAGCTAAGGCTGAGCAGCAGTGATCTGTGCTGAGAGAACGCAAGAAGCTCCAGCCTGGGAGCCACAGCACGCAGGTGTGGCTGAGCGCAGAGAGCAGGAGCGGGTGCCGCGGGGCCTAGACACACAGCCAGGAGGCTCTGGCTCTGGAGGGGCCGCTCTTGGCGCGTGTGAGTATGTGCACCTGGGAGAGCTCTGTGAGTCAGAGAGGGTGTCCTGGAGCCCTGCACCAGCCCGGAACCCCTCTGTGGGCCGTTCTGCTGTGTGTGTGTTGCAGAGGTTTGGGGCGTGGCCGTGGGAAGGGCTGCAGGACGTCCCCCAGGGTGGCTGCAAGTTTAGAGGCTGGCACAGGGAGTCTCTCGCAGTGGTGATTCCAAACCCAGACCCCCTCCATGTGACAGTGGTGAATGGTGTCCTTGTGCAGGCTGGGTGACTTTGGGGTCACATTGCTAGAGGCGGGGTTGCCCTACTCAGGGGCCCATGTGGCGTGGAGGCGGACAGGGAGCAGGAAAGGTGGCAATTCCTGCTCTTTGACTCACCCCCTCCCCTCCTGACACGAACGCCCAGGGCTTTTCCCTTTGTGGCCTGTGGCTGTCTGGGCAGTGAGTGGGCGAGCTCTGCTTACCTAGGTGTGTGGGCGTGTTGGGGTGAGCTGTGGACAGTGGGCCATTTCCTCCATTTCTGCGTGAGAGTCCTGAGAGAAGGCCTGGAGCTCCCAGGGAGGTGAGCATGCAGGAAGGAGGTGGCCCAGCGCAGTCCAGGCTGGACCTCCCCGTCTCTCCCCTTCTTGTGTTGAGAGCAAGGTGCACCCACTAGAGGGTGCTGGGAGGTGTGCACCAGGGCCAGGGAGGGGTGTGAGCCATGTGTGCACGTGGGAGAATGCTCATTGGGTCTCAGGTCCTTGTCAGGTCTGTGCAGCAGTGTAGGCCTCAGAGGGTGGCATGCCCCCTGTGTGTGGGGCTGCTTGCTGGTGTGCTCTGAGGATGTCACACCGCTCCATTGGGTGTGATGGAGGAGGGGACATGAGTGTGATTGTCACAGAAGCGTGCCCATGTCCGTTGTGTGTCCGCCTCTCACTGCCCACACAGATGGGCCCAGCTGATACCTTATTCCTTGGCCTCATGAATTTTATGCAGGTGGACAAAATGCCAGGCCCCTGTGGGGACAGAGCCTTGAATGTCTGGTGGAAGGCTTCTGCCTCTATTTCAGCCCTACAGTTCCCCTGGGACCCCCTTAACTGTCGTTGTTCCCCTAGGATCCAGGTGAACGACCTCTTGGTAGAGGTGGACGGGACGAGTCTAGTGGGAGTGACCCAGAGCTTCGCAGCGTCTGTGCTCCGGAACACCAAGGGCCGAGTGCGGTGAGAGCCGGGGCTGGAGCGTGGGGCAGGCAGGAGTCCCCATCCAGACACTCTGCTCATCTGTCCGCAGCTAGTTAAGGTTCTGGGCCACCCTGCTCACAGAGGAGGGGGTCCCCTGACTCCCTGTCTGAAGGAATTATCGTGCCATGGCCCCTTGCCCTGTGCCCGCCTCCCCTGCCTGGGCTCCCTGACTGCTGCTGGCCACCTGAACTTGGGCTTCAAGGCACGTGTCCACTGTCCCTCCAAACTGTCCTCTTGGGCTTATTCTCCTTCCCCCAGCTGTCCCTGACTCATTCATTGAGGAACCAAGATGTGCAGGGTGATTGCCAACCAACTTGGGCTCCCCTTGGGAATGTTGTCCAGGAGTCAGTCCTGGGCAGACTCCTCCCTAGGTGTGAGTTGAGGGGATTGGATGAGAAGCTCCCTATGTCCATCCCACCTCTGGCTTCAGGGATCACTCCCTACCCTGCTCTAGGAGGGGCACTGCCCCCAGGAAAGGATGGTGTCAGAGACAGGATGTGGGTGGCCTCGGGGAGGAGGGGCTGATGCCTGGAAGTTCCACTACTTCCTCTCCATCCTAATCTTCAGCTGCCATCATCCCGCCCCTTCCTGAAGCTCAGGGGCTTGGAGCAAGCCCAAGACACACCTCCAGGTCCTGCCTGGCTGGACCAGGTCATCCTCCCCCTCCCCCGCCTCATTTCTCCCCACTTGGTTGGCGAGAGCCCCTACACCGGCAGCTCCTGAGCTCATGCCCCTGCAGCCCAGCCCAAAGTTGGGCCGATCTCTCCTTCCCCAACCCTGGCTAGAAGGACCAGTGGGCCTTCCTGCCTCCCCTGGGAAGGAAACCCAAGAAGGCCCCCCCCCGCCCCCCATTCATTATTAACCCGGCAGCCTTTGGTCTCAGCCATCTCGTCTCACCTCTCCTGGGAGGAGGGCCTGAGTTTGGAGAGGGGAGCCGCAGCAGGGAGGATGGCATTTCGCAGCCGAGGACAGAGGCAGGGGATGATGCTGGTGCCCCTGCAGGTTTATGATTGGCCGGGAGCGGCCGGGAGAGCAGAGTGAAGTGGCCCAGCTAATCCAGCAGACCCTGGAGCAGGAGCGATGGCAGCGGGAGATGATGGAGCAGAGATACGCCCAGTACGGGGAGGATGACGAAGAGGTAGGGAGTCCTGCCTGGCAGCGCGATCGCCCCCTGGTGACTAGATGAAGCACTGCGGCCATTTGCCTTTCCGCTTTCCCAGGCCTCCTAAGAGGCCCAAAGTCTATTTCCTATCCCAGAGTCACACCCTTTGTCTTCAGAGAGCCTTCCTGGTCCTATAAGGAAAGTAGTTCCCTCAGAAAGCCCCCACTGTGAGGGCAGGGCACAGGCCCTCACCTCAGCGGACCTAATCTCAGGAAGAGACCAGTCTAAACTTCAGGGACCTGTCAACAGCAGCACCAGCTGTTTCTTCAGGATCCCAGTCTTTTGTTGTTGTTGTGACCCAGGCTGGAGCACAGTGGCAGATCACGGCTCACCGCAGCCTCCTCACTGACTTCCTGGGCTCAGGCGCGCTTTCTGCCTCAGCTTCCTGAGTAGCTGGGACCACAGGCAGGCACCACAACGCCTGGCTGATTTATTTATTTATTTTTTTGTGGGAATAAGCTCTCACTCTATTGCCCAGGCTGGTCTTGAACTCCTGGGTTCAAGCAGTCCTCTCGCCTTGGTCTCCCAAAGTGCTGGGATCACAGGCCTGAGCCACTGTGCATGACCCAGGGTCCTAGTCTTATAGGGAACTGCTTCTACCTTCAGGGGATTCCCCAGGCTATTGGGAGGCCATGTAAACTCCTCTGGTGCTGCCGCAGGCTGAAGGGGAGGCCGGCGCCACACCCCTGGATGGCTACCGGTCAGAGCCCTGGCAGCGGGGCTGAGGGCAGTCGAGGTCAGGATGGAGAGGGTCCACAGCCCCCTGTTTCCCTTTGCAGACAGGGGAGTATGCCACTGATGAGGATGAGGAGCTGAGTCCCACGTTCCCGGGTGGAGAGATGGCAATTGAGGTGTTTGAGCTCGCAGAGAATGAGGACGCGCTGTCCCCTGTGGACATGGAACCCGAGAAGCTGGTGCATAAGTTCAAGGAGGTGGGAGGAGGGGGCTCCCTGGGGTGGGGGAGGGCGAGGGCAGGCCTGGATCCTGCCCTCCGTGCTGCCCACCCCACCCAGCCGGAGCTGACTGCCCGCCCGTTTGCCCCACAGCTCCAGATCAAACATGCTGTCACTGAGGCAGAGATCCAGCAGCTGAAAAGAAAGGTGAGGGGGCTGTGTGTTGAGGAATCGGGTCCCTCCACCCTCACACCTGCACATGCTGACATTCGTACACAGGTGCCCACAGAAAGACCACACTGAGGCAGGGCACATGGTATTAAGAGCTCAAGCTCTGGACACATCTGTTCCACCATCACTTGCTGCTCTGTTCCTCAGTCTCCTCATCTGTAAAATAGGGTAATAACAGTACCAACACCGTAGGATGGTTGCGAGGATTCAATGAGCTAAGACACGTGAGTCTTTTTCTTTTCTTCTTAAAGCAGGATTTATTGAAAGTACAGAAAAGCTCCCACAGTGGGAGGGGACCCCAGGGGGTTGCCTGAGTCTTTTTTTTTTTTCGGGTCGGAGTCTCACTCTGTCGCCCAGGCTGGAGTGCAGTGGCATACTCACGGCTACTGCAGCCTCAACTTGCTGAGTTGAGGTGATCCTTCCACCTCAGCCTTCCAAGTAGCTGGAACCACAGGTGTGCACCATCACACCCAGCCAGTTTTTTGATTTATTGTAGAGACGAGTTCTTGCCAGTCTGCTCAGGCTGGTCACAAACCCATGGACTCAGGCAATCCTCTTACCTCTGCTGCCCTAAGTGCTGGGATTATAGGCAAGAGCTACCATGCCTGGCCTACACATGAGTCTTTAGCACAATGACTGACATGGTAAGTGTTCAGTAAAAGCCAGTATTAGCTATGAGACTGAAGCATACTGCGTCCCGCTCTTGATGTGTCTGTGTTTATACTGTCCCACACATGTCTTCTGTATAGAGGCCCAGTGATAAATGCCACCCTCCCAGAGATGCCCACTGACACATGCCAGCCTGGACCCAGGCACAAAGGACCCATAGACCCACTCACCCAGACACAGTCCCAGAGACACTGGGCCTGTGCTTCATATGACACCACACCCAGGACCGTCAGCCTAGGAGCGTAAGCCCACTCTGCATTCTCTGAGACACATGGGTGTGACCGTTGCTCAGACCACCTGGCCTAAGAGAGTATCACAGGACATGCGTGTTCTCACCTGGGCAAGCCACAATGAGGTGCTGATGCTGACAGCACCAGAGGTGACATAACACACCAACACATATGTACCACACAGACGCTTCCATAAGCCCGCTGGGTGCCAGTGCCCTTGCAGGCATGTGGATACACAGACTTCATATTAAAAGTCTGCAGTGGGAGTCCCAACCCCATGGGCTTTCAGTGTGGTGGGGACAGACAGGTTTCCAGGGACCTTGCATACAGGGGAACCCAGGTACACACATGCATACACTCCCACACGTGGGTATCTACCTGCCCCACGCGTGGAGCAGATGGCGTAAACCGAGCCTTGGAGTAGGGTGAAGTTGAGATGGCTGTTTAGGAGGGGTGTTCCTGGCAGGAAGCTGAGCTCGATCACGCTGGAAGCTGGCCTGAGGAGGAGGCCCTCCAGGCTGTGGCAGCGTGCCTGTGGGTGGGGGGTGTGGAGACAGGTGCAGAGTGAGCTGTAGCTGGCAGTGTCTGGGCCCCCCTCTAAGGTCTTGAGCCTTGGTTCGGTAGACAGTGTGGAGCTCTGTGGCATTGTGGGTGCTTTTGGAAGGTCACTGGCGGCCAGGTGGGGGGGTGCGAGGGTGGGCCAGACTTGAAGATGAGCAGACTGGCTAGGGGCCCGGGCAGGGTCCTGGCAGGGGTGGGCCAGGACTGCCCAGAGTACAGGCAGAGGGTCTGGGAAGGAAGAGTGGGTTAGCACTCATTTCTGGGGTCACAGTGACAGGCCACGTTCATGGGTGCAAGCAGAGAGTGTTCACACATTCAATTTACAAACATCCGTCGGGTACCTTCTAGAAGCCCCGCACTGTTCCAGACACTGTGACGGGCAAAACCAGAGTTGACCCCTGTCCTTGTGCAGCTTGGAGTATGCACACCAGTGACTGTATTGTTTCAAACTAAGCGGGCTCTGATGGAGAAAACAGGAGAAACTAGATTTGGGTGGGGGTGGGCTGTGCTGTTGTGGGAGTCAGGGGGCTTCCCGGGGAAGGGATACACTGAGCAGAGAGCTGAAGGGTGAGCTTGTTGTGGGAAGCAGCTAGGCAAGGGGGACATTCCAGGCAGAGGGGACAGCGTGTGCAAAGGCCCTGTGCCAAGTCTGAGAATCTGTGGAAGGCCTGTGCGTTGGGGTACAGAGAGCAAGGGGTGCTTGTGGCCAACACGGTGGCAAGGCCGGCAGGGCCTGAGACTGAATGCCAGGCTGGCTGTGGGGTTGTGGTGCCCTTGACAGACATGAGCAAGCTGGGAAAGGAGGTGGAGATTTGTGCAGGTGGGGGGCTGGTTTGGTACCTGAGAGGAGCTGGGGGTAAGACCGGAAACTGGAGGCCAGGTTGAGCTGGGGTCCGGGACTTGGGGTCCAGAGTGCACAGAGGTGCTGGAGGTGGGACCCCGGCCCAGGGCAGCAAGTATTGAGAGAACAACAGAGCCAGGGCTGAGCCGTTGGGAGTTGGAGGTGTTCATTGGGGTCACCTGGGAGCTGGGAGCGGAGCCAGGTTTGTTCAGGAAGCCATAGGAGCGGGGGGCTAGACAGCAGGGCCAGGGCTGCAGAGGGGGACCAGAGAGCAGTGGTGCCCCTCCGCTGCCCTCCTCTTTAAGTACCGTCTCCCTGGAGCCCTGGTGAGCTCGGGAGGCAGGTATCATGGCCATTTTACAGATGGGAGAACTGAGACTTGAGACAGAAATTGCCTTGCCCCCGGCCAGTGTAGCCAGTGACTTGCCGAGGCCTCCTGAAGCCTCCCTGGGAGCGAGGGGCAGTGACCCTAGCCGGGAGCTCTGAAGCTGAGGTCCCACCTCTTTTCTCTCTGGGTTCCAATTCTCAGGCTCAGCCCAGGAGAGCTAATACTTGGGGTGCAGGGGGCTTGCATCTGTAGGAGTCCCCCAGAGACTGTGGCCCTGGTGCCAGGAAGGGGGTGCCCCTTGGCTCCCCCTGACACCCGTCAACCCAGAGCCATGTTGTTCCCTCTCAGCTGCAGAGCCTGGAGCAGGAGAAGGGGCGCTGGCGGGTGGAGAAGGCGCAGCTCGAGCAGAGCGTGGAGGAGAACAAGGAGCGCATGGAGAAGCTGGAGGGCTACTGGGGCGAGGCCCAGAGCCTGTGCCAGGCTGTGGACGAACACCTGCGCGAGACCCAGGCCCAGTACCAGGCCCTGGAGCGCAAGTACAGCAAGGCCAAGCGCCTCATCAAGGACTACCAGCAGAAGTACGTGGCGGCGGTCGGCGCCTCTGGGGGGCGAGGGGGTGCCGAGAAGCCCCGGGCAGCGGCCCCCCACCCCACCGGCAGCTGAACAGGGAGGCAAGGGGCACAGAAGCTAGGGGTCCCAGCGTGGGGCCCCTGGGCCTGGGATGACTGGGTATCAGAGCCAGCACGGGGCTGGGCCCCAGAGGCTCTGGGAAAACCAGAGGCCTCTCGACCTGAGGCTAGGGAGAGGGCAACGCTGCCCAGGGGGTGGAGCCGAGGACCCCGGGTCTCCTCACGTGGAAGCCAGGCCTCAGACCTTTACCTGCCATCTGTCCCTGCTTGTCCCCAGGGAGATAGAGTTCCTGAAGAAGGAGACTGCACAGCGTCGGGTTCTGGAGGAGTCAGAGCTGGCCAGGAAGGAGGAGATGGACAAGCTCCTGGACAAGGTGGGTCTGGGGCACCCTGGGGGCAGGGCCCTACGGAGGGAGCAGCATGGATGTCCCCGGCACCCTTGCTGTGGGTCCTGGAGAGAGAAGGGGCTCCTGTCCCCACCGGGCACGGAGCGGGCAGGGCCCATGCCCAGTGCTGAGGCCTAACCCCCTCCTTGGTTTTCCAGATCTCAGAACTGGAAGGAAGCCTGCAAACACTGAGGAACTCCAATTCCACTTAACAGGAAGCATTCCTTGACTGGACAATAATTAACCCCCTCCCACTGTCCTCCCTCCCCTGTCCTCAATACCCCTCCCCGCCCCCTACCAGCCTGGGGACAGGTGCCCCGACTCCCCCACCCCTCCACCTCACCTCCCCCAGCTTCAGGGACCAGAGGGCCCATATCAAGGCCCCTTCAGGTGGCCCGGGCAGACAGGTGGCTGGAAGGGCGGCCTCCCTCTTGCCCCATGGGGCTGAGGTGCTGAGGCCAGGGGCTGCCGAGGGCCGGCCTGGGCAGTGGACGGACGCAAGGACCTGCAGATCAAACTGCCAGACATTCCAACCTCCAACTTTTGTCTCTGGACTGGAATGGGGCTGGGCTGTCCCCGCATCTCACAGACTGGAGGCTGCTCCCTGCCAGGGAGGCCTCTCCACTTGAGACTCCACTTTCTTGGCCCTTGCCCCCCCCACCCCGTTGTGCTGTCTGTTGCATCCTGACCCGCCTGCCGGTGGGGGGCTTGCCTCCACGCCTCCCGCCCTTCCGCCCTGTCCTGGGAGGGATAGAGTCCGCCCCAGAGCCCAGAGGCTGGGCCTGGCCCTGGCCCTGCACTGACTTCTCCAGTGTCCTTCAGGAAAGGGAGGAGGGAAGGAAGCAGGGAGAGCTCAGGACACCTGGGGCCCAGCTCCCCCTTGTGGGCAGCAGCCCTCACTGTCTCCTCGTGCCTCCCTCTCCCAGGTGCCAAATAGCCATAACCTCCTACAGGAACTGTTGCGCTGGCCCCGGGGCCCGGGTTTCCCGGCCCAGCCTGGGGACGCCAGGGAGGAGAGGTCAGCTTAGGGGGCCTGGCTGCAGAGACCCTGGTCCTAGGCGAGGGGAGTACATCTCCCTAGAGAGTCAGGTCTGTCCCACCCTGCCCAGGGCAACGCCTGGAAGCCTTGTACGAACACCACAGATTCAGCCCCATTCCCACGCTTTTCCAGCGTTTTGACTGGGGGGCAAAATGTTGCTACTCATCTTTTTGGAGACCGGGGCTACTCAGCTGGTAGTCTGCCTTCTAAGTGAAATCGACTCTGTTCCCCACTTTAACCCCAAATTGGGGCTAGGACCAAGGGAGGTGAGACCCCCCCCAGGTCCCCTCCCCTCTCAGAATCCATCTCATTTTGCCACTTCTTCATACCCCTGCCCCAAGCCTGGGTTTTTGTTCATTTTTTAAAAAAAACAGACTACCCTGTCTTACCCGTTTCAGCTTCTTTGTCCCCTGTAAATAGACCATGCCATCGATCAGTATTTCTTGCCCCCTCTCCCTCCCCCAGACGTGCCCCCACCCCCTGAAAGCTGGCTGTCTCGGTGCCCGGCCCCGTGCATTCACCCCGGCAGATGGAGGGGGCAGAGCCGGGGCTGCGGGGCGCTTCCCATTTGTTGGGCCAGCGGCCGCCCCTGCCCAGCCATCCAGAGGACCGCGTCTCTGTATATAATATATATATATGTATGTATTGTTCCCGGTTTTGTACGGACCATGCCCTCTGTCAGGTCGTTCCCATAAAAGCAGCCCCCAGAATCTTGCTGTCTGATTTCTTGATTCACTGGAGGGGTGCAGGACAGGGATCAAGGATACCAGACTGCCCCTGCTGGTCCCCTCCCAGCAGTGTCACCTCAGACCCTGGGGAGTCTTTCTGCACAGTTTCCCAATTCCTGCAAACTTCCTCTCTGCTGCTGTTCTGTCCATTGGCCCCCATGCCTTTTGTCTAGGGCTGGACTGGGCTGGGGGTTTCTAGAATTTACTCTTCCAAGGCCTCTGAAGGGATTAAGAAGTGCTAGACACGGCAAGGCCAACCTCAAGGTCCTCCCCTGAGAAGTCTCTAAATGGATGCTTTCGAGAGGCCCCCCCGCGTGAGGTACAAGGCGCATAGGGGCTTCCTGGAAGTGACAGTGTGGTGGGAGGTGGCATGTCAAGGCAGTTTTGTCCCCAGGGTCTTGGAGAATCTGTCCCGTTTGCTCCTCTGGGGTGGGCCCGAGAGGCCTTAAGTAGCCCCAGTCCCTGCTGTGCACTGGCAGACCTGGTTGCTGAGTCACTAGCTCTCATACTAATGAGTCTGGGTGTCTAGACGCCAGGGTTCCGGGGCCAGCTTTGGTGAAGTCCCAGAGAGCCGAGGGCCAGCAGGAAATGGGGCAGCGGCTTACGGCAGGTGGCCCTGGGTGCTGCTGGGCAGATGTGAGCCAAAAAAAAGCACAGGCATCTGTGGTGGTCAAGGCTTGGCCCTAGAGGTCTCATCTTCCTCTCCCTCTACCCTAAGAATGGAAGTCCCAACCTCAGGGCCCTCTGAGGTCACCGTGATAGGTCCCTGACTGTGTGTCCTGGATGAGTGGCCCAAACTCCCAGAGGCAGTCAGCTCCCGAGGCAGCTGTTCCCTCGTGGATGGCTCTGTCACACAGATCCCACTCATGTCAAGTCCTGCCACCCTCGCCTGAGGGTGGCCTGGAAACCTGGGTATAGTGACCATGCCTCTCAAGGCATCTCCTCCGTGTGGGCATCCTTGGAACGCTCTAGGAGCCCTTGGGAGGTAGAAGACAGACCTAGGTGGCTAAAGCCCAAGCTCAGAGATCACCAAGCCACGTGGTCACAGGTCATGGCTCCAGAGTTAGAGGTCCCTGAAGCCCTGCTTGACCTAGCCAAGAATCCCAAGAAGTGGAGTGGCCAGGCCTTCCAGGGTGGAGAGGCAGGTGGGGGGCTGTGGGGAGAGCTTCTACTGGGCTGACTGGGGCTAAGTGTCCAGGGTGGGGTCCTGCTGCCCCCCATCTGTCCTGTGCATTAGGTGAGGGGCCTGTACATTGTATGCTGGCAGGCCAAGTAGCCCTCCAAGTTTAAGCCTGAGTGTGTTCTGTGTGTGGCTTGGCTGCAAGTTCCTTGGGCCTGACCATGTGACTTGATTATGCTAGATGGCATGTTTACATTTGGGGCTGTGTCAGGTGGCTATGGGCAGTCAGTGTGAAGCTTCTCACCTCAGCCCCTCCCCCCTCCCGTCACCTGCCTAGTTTTGGGAGCTTGGTAGGTTTGTCAGAATCCCAACACTTGCCATAAGGGAGGGAAATAGATAAGAATTTGCTCAACTCCAGTTTAGGCCTCACTGGGAACAGGGGCCCTTTCCAGATCCCAGGGCCTAACAGATATCCTCCCAGCCCTGACCTTCCACACCCTCATCTCCCCAGCCCCTCAGGATCCTCCATAATCAATCCCCACACTCCCACCCACCACCCAGATTGCACCAGATGCCTGCAAACCACAGCTCTTTAAAGACCCCAGGCACAGCCCCTCCAGGCTGGCGCTAGGATACCACCCCTCCCCAGATCTCCATGCTCTATCCTCATGAAGGCCAGTAGACACTCCAAAAACCTAGGATATACTCAGGCCCTGAAGGTCATTAATTCTGTCCTCACTCACAGTCCCAAGATCATCCTGGCTCCACATGCCACCGCCACAGGCCCTTGAGGCCTCAGAAAGGCAGAGTCCCACGGACCATTGGGGAACTTGGTCCTGCAGGCTCCACTCTCCCCTGACTCCCGACGCCTTACCCAGCCTCATCTTTGCTCTTGAACAAGCCACTTTCCTTCTCCCAAGTCTGCTTTCCCTGAGGTAGTGGGTAACAGAAACACCTACCTCTTGGTCTTATTGTGAGCATAACAACAAGTAGCCTGACAACGTGCCTGGCACATCCTAAGCCCAGCGGTATGGTGGATGGCTGTGGCTCTCACATGGCCTCCACTGGCTGGCCCGCCACCACCCCCAGCTCACCACGTCTGACCTCATCCACGGCCACCCCCACTCTGCTCCAGGGGTCCACACTCAAGGCAAGGACCCACAGTCATCCTAGACACCTCGTTCTCCCTCAACTCCAAGTCTCGCCGGTCCCCAATCCTGTCAATTTCCTCAGGTCCACCTCCTGCGTGTTCCCACCTTGACCTTTAGTCTTCATGACCCTTGACCTTTAATCTTCCTGACCACTACCATCGTCTCCCAACAGCCTCCAGAGGGGCCTCAGCCCTTCAGACTGCCCCCTGCAATCCTTTCTCTGGGAGGACTAGAGTGCGTCCTAAATGGGGCGGCAAATCTGAGCCCCTCCCTCCTGTTAATTTCTTTCCCCCAAGGCTAGAGGATCAAGTGCAAGCCCTCTGCCCACACCGCCCCAGTTTCCCGGCATCTTCCCCTCTAGTCCACCCAGCCCCAAGCCCCTCTGGCCCTTCCCTACCAGGACCTGCAGGAGAAGCTCACACATCACCTCCTCTGGGAATCCTCCCTGCCCACCCCACCCCCACCGGGTCCCAGGCTGGGCTAGGCCCTTCAGTGTACTCTCCTCTGGCGCTGAAGTGCCTGCCCTCTGTGGACGGCGCTTTTTGCCCCCGCCCCCTTTCGTCTGCGCCCCTGACTGCACCGAGAACCCCAAAGGCCTGGACCTGGCGGGCTCTGTTCACCGAGGTCCCCTCCGGCCTCGGCGGCTCAGGGGGCCTTTGTAGAATGAATGAATGAATGAATCAGGAGCCCTCACAGACCTGGCAGAGGAGGCGGAAGCCCCGTGGGTCCCAAGGCGGGGCCGCCCCCCTAGCTGCTTGCA